GGAGATTTTGTTGTTACTGTGTTTGGCATATCAAATACATCACGGGTGGCTTGCCAGGCTCTGCCGTGCGGGTGAGATACTCTCGGTAGCTTGCCGGGCTCTCTGAGACGGGCGGAGGAATCGAACTCAGGTCGGCCATGTTTGCTGCATGCAAGGCAAACGCCCTACTAATAACAAAAAAAAAATTCTCTTTCCTCATTAGGTTTTAATCAAAGTAGTAGGATTGTGTTTTTTTGTTTTCAATACTGGGCATTGAACTCAGAGCCCCACACATGTAAGGAAAGTTACTCTATCACAAAGCTACTATCCCAGTTCAAAGTTGTAAGCTTTTAAAGTTTAGAATATACATTTTAATTTAAAACAATAATAAATTGTTTAGTACGTAATAGGTATTCACAACTAGTATCATTTATAATAAAAGCACCATGACTCTTTCCCTTTTAAAATATGTTGCATTGAAAAATATATAAAGAGTTTTTCAAAAGTGAGAACATCATTTTCTCAGGTGACTTAATAATTTATCGTTAGAATTTTCGCTGCTATTCACCAACAAATATCTGACCCAAGAATAACAGTAATAGATTCTATTTTCTTAACAAACTTCTCACCAGTTAAATATAAGCATTATATAAGATACCATCACAATAATGTAGATCTTGACTCTACATACTTTCCCAAGAGGACAACTAAGTTTCAGTCCAGAACCTAATCCCCTGCTCTTCAGGATGTGCTATCCAACTGCTTGCTAGAGACCCCCTTCTCAGTTTTTCCCAAAGTGAAATCATTTGTAACTCCCAACCCACCTTTGCTTTTCTCTGTGTTCCTTCACCCAGTGAACAAGTCATTGTGCAATAGTTTCTGCCTTGTTGTAGCAAGGAACAGCAAAAGAAACAGCGGCTCAGTCAAAATATAGCTCAAATAAATAATCTAATCTAACTTTATGAACCATATTTTGTTCTATTGTTCTATTCCCTTTTCCATTTACATCTACTATTAAAAATTATATTTTCTTGGGGGCCAGAGCAGTAGTACAGTGCATAGAGTGCTTGCCTTGTACAAAATCAACCCAGGTTCTGTCCTGGCAACCCACATGGTCTCCTAAGCGAACCAGGAGTAAGCCTGGAGCATAGCTTGGCGTGACCCAAAAACTAAAATAAAAAATTTATTTTCTTGATAAAATTTTTGTTTACCCTCCAATTTTATTGATATTCTTCACATACCAGAGACTCCACCATTTAAAGTGTACAACTCAACAACAACAACAAAAAGGTGTACAACTCAATGGCTTTAAGTATATTCAGAGTTGGGCAACTATCATCCACAATCAACTTAAGAACATTTTTACCACTGTCAAAGGAAGTTCATATTTTGTACCCAGTCAACCCTCATTTCTTCTCCAACCTCTCAGTTTTAGACAATCACTAACTTTCTGTAACTAAGATTTGTCTACTCTGAATACCTCATATGAATATAACCATAAAATCTGTGGTTATTTCTTTCACTTAGCATATTTGTTAAACGACTGGTTTCTTTCATATTTCTTAGCATATTTGCAGAGTACAAGAACATTGTAGCAACTATCACCACGTAATTCCTTTCCATTGTTTAATAGTATTCTATTATGAGTATGTCATATTTCTTCATTCAATCAATAGCAGATAACATTTATATAGTTTCCACTGTTTTGACTATTATAAATAATGTTGCAGTGAACATTCACGTACAAGTTTTTGTTTGTTTTGGGACCACTCCTGGAAGTGGTCAGGGCTTACTCCTGGCTCTGTGCTCAAGGATCACTGCAGATGGGCTCAGGGATTCTGGGGATCGAAATCACATTGTCTGTGTGTGAGGCAAACACTGTACCCACAGTATTCTCTCTTTAGCTCCTTCACTTTCTTTCACTTTCTTTACAGTAACTGGACTTATTTTTTAAAAATTTGTTTGTAAATTCCTTCAACCTTCATAACTCACACACGCGCGCTCATTTACACACACAAATACACACACACAGTAAAATTCTCTCACTGGCAACAACATGGATGGACCCAGAGATTGTGTTTAACAAAATAAGTAAAACAGAGGGGGAAAAAACCCTCACTATGAACTATATGAACATAAGACCATATTCATGTTTACCAGAGTGGAAGAATCTAATTAGACTTTTAGTGGTGAATTTAATATATTAAGTTCAAAGATATACTTAATGCATTAAGAACATACAGATCAGTTATAAACATGTATATCTGAAATCTACATAATGTTATAAATCAATGTTACCTCAATAACAACAAAAAATTTTAGCTTAATAAGTTGGGCTGGAGAGAGAATATAGGGGTTAAAGCACATGTCTTCCATATGGCCAACCCTGGTTCGATCTCCAGCACCACCTGGTTCTTCAGCATTAATGGGTGTAGCCCCAGAGGCCTCAGAATGGGCAGTCCCCAGCACCATAAAGTCCAGGTACTACTACATCCTTGAGCTCTCATATTGAATCTCTTGATGACTAGCTGAGACTTCTTGGAGGGGCCTTAAAGCCTTGAATACCATTGGTGAGGCTCACCCTCAAAAAAAAATTACTGTGTTAACATTTTTTATTATATTTAGTCCTACTGAAAATCGTTAGAGGCTTCTATTGACATCAGGCTAAAATAAATACAACAGGAGGTATGGTGCCGCCAGCAGGTCAATCTGTACCTGTGAGGTGAGTGCATCAGCAGCTTGATGGCGCCTTCAGACTTCCAGATACCCCAAAATTGCTGCTGTGCCTTTGGTCAGACCCCAAAAACTTGGGGCAAAGTTTACTAAGAAAGTCACTGTCACTGTCACTGTCCCTGTCCTCCCGTTGTTCATCGATTTGCTCCAGTGGGCCCAGTAACATCTCCATCGTGAGACTTGTTGTTACTATGTTTGGCATATCGAATACATCATGGGTAACTTGCCAGGCTTTGCCATGCAGGCGAGATACTCTTGGTAGCTTGCCGGGCTCTCCAAGAGGGGCAGGGGAATCAAACTTGGGTCAGCCATGTTGGCTGCATGAAAGGTGAACGCCCTACCTGCTGTGCTATTGCTCCAGCCCACTAAGAAAGTAAACGGCCAAAAGTTAGGTATGTGGGAGACACACCGCAAACCACCTCTGGCTCAGATATATAATTGGAGGCATAGCCTTTCTGGTTCCTGATCGAACTGCTTAACAGCCATGATCCCAGAGACTCAGAAACAAAGCTCGAAACCCAACTGCTTTTGGCAGAAATGTGTCCAGTCCCCGCAGTAGGTTACTGTCGTAGGGCCACCCCACGGGGAAAAGGGTGTTGTCCCTCCGCCTGCTCCCCCTTGGCGGCTCAGTGGCCGCCATCCACCAGAGGCCATTGGACAGTCAGGTTTGGGCCCGCAGTGACAAGACACGCGGGGAACTCAAGGGATGGGGGTGGAGCTGGCCCTTTTCTCCCACCCCAATAAGACCCTGAGTCGTCGCCCATGAACGGTCTCTCTGGCTCCTGATCAAGCTACTTAACAGCCATGATCCTAGAGACTCAGGAACAAATCTCAGAACCCAGCAGGTTTGGCAAGAAATCCCTCCAGATTTAAGTGTTAAAATTTCAGAATTTCAAAATCGCATGGCCATTACTGCAGCCATGCGACATCATATGTTATTCTTAACCAGCAATAGAAAACAAATTGTCTACTGTTTCCTTTTCAGCAGATCTGAGTGTTTAGGTAAAATCCCAAATAATAATGGTGGGTCTGGTGTCAAAATATTAAATGTAATCAAAGTAGAGAGAGAGAGTAATATGGAAATCGTCTGCCCCACAGGTAGGGTTTATATTGGGGTTTTTGGTCGTGGAAAATGGGCACTGGTGAAGGTATGGGTGTTTCATTGTATGACCGAGACTTAGACCCGAAAGCTTTGTAACTGCTCTCATGGTGATTCAATAAATAAAATTATAAAAAATGAAAAAAAAAGCAAGGTGGAGTTCATGCCTAATTCAATCAGCTAATCAGTGGCTGAATAAATAGCAGTACTCCTACATAAAAATAAATAAATAATAAATAAATAAATAAATAAATAAATACAACAATCCTTAACTAACACTCATGGTCAGATTGTGACCGCCTCCATAAATAGAAGTACTGTCTCTTTTTATTCTTACCCTTTAGTCTATATGCCTTACACGCTCTGGTCTCATTTCTTCTATCACTTCATCTTCTTTCTCTATCCACTCCACATATCCAAGCCTTCCAGTCTCAAAGCCTGGACTCCCGATATTCCTTACACTTAGATTCTCTTTTCCCCAGAGACAATTAGCTTGCACTGTCTCCTTTAGATAGCTGTTCAAATGCTACCTTTTCAATGATAACATTCCTGACCATAGTACTTAAAAATAACAGATCTTCAGTCTACTATTCTCTGCCCTCTGATTTCTTATTCTCCATCATATTCATTACAGTGTAACAGTGAAATTTTACTTGTTTGTTTACTGTCAATCTCTCTGAACTATAATGTGAGCTCAGTGAAGGGGAGCTTGCCACTGGTTCTGGGTTCACCAGAGATACACCTGGCAGTGTTTAAGAGGTACTGTGCATGACAGGCATGTGCCCTAGGCCTTTGAACTATTTCCTTGGCCTCAGAGATTTGTTTTTTGTTTTGTGTCTGAGGGTCAATGTTCAGGGGCTACCCCCATTTCAATTCTCAGGGATTACCCCTGGTAGTGGCACTCAGGGGAATAACCTTAACCTTGGGGTGCCAGATATCAAACCCAGACCTCCAGCATGCCTGCATGCTTAGCCCACTGAGTTATCTCTCCTGCCTCCAAAGATTTGTTTTTAACCAATTTAGTCTACTATGTACACATCAATTAAAATTTTGAAACATTTAAATCCTCAAAATCTGAATAATAAACATCTAAATTTGTTAACTAACAATCATATCTATATGTAACTATTAGATCACAGGGTTTAGAAAAGCAAAACATCAAATTAATACAAAGGATGTTAATTCTTACATTTTTTTATGGCATTTCTGGTAGTCTTCTGAAGAGGTACCTGGGGGGGAGGGAGGAAAGGGGGAGGGAAGAAATCTATTAGAAATACATCATTCAAATTGAGACTAGGGGCTAAAAGCACTCTAGAGGAAAAAAATAAATGTTTCCTATAAAATAAATAGTGGTACAGCTTATGGGCAAAGCATTTACTTTGAACGTGTCTAACCTGGGTTCGATCCCCCATATCCCATATGGTTCCCTGGGCCTTCCAGGAGTAATTCCTGAATGCAGAGCCCCCGAGTACTTCCAGGTGTGGCTCAAAAACAAAAACAAAACCCAAAAGTAAAATAAAATAAAATACACTGTGGAAAAAAATTGCTTTTATAATTGTATTGGTTTACTGTGTTCGTTTATTTCTTTTTTTTTAAATTTTTATTAGTGAAACACCATGAGGTACAGCTGTAGACTTACAAATTTTTATGCTTGGATTTCAGTTATACAATGATCAAATACCCATCCCTCCACCAGTGCCCATTTCCCACCACCATGGATCCCAGTATCCCTCCCACCTCCCATCTCCCCATCCCACCCTGCCTCTGTGGCAGGGCATTCCCTTTTGTTCTCTCTCCTCTTGGGTGTTGTGGTTTGCAAAAGAGGCATTGAGTGGCAATCATGTTTGGTCTATAGTCTACTTTCAGCATGCTTCTCCCATCCTGGGAGGATCCTCCCAATATCCTTTATTTGGTGCTCCCTTCTCTACTGAGCTCCCTTTTCCCCTAGCATGTGTGGTTGGCCTCCAAGCCATGGAGCAAACCTCCTGATACTAATCCCGGCCACTCTTGGGTGTTAGTCTCCTATTTTGTTACTTTATGTTCCCCAGATGAATGCAATCTTTCTATGTCTATCCCTCTCTTTCTGACTCATTTCGCTTAGCATGATACTGCCTCCTAAATTAGGTCATCCAAATGCCAAAGTGAAACAGATCAGTGAGATAGCTCAAGGGGCTGAGTGCCCACTTTGCATGCAAAAGGCCCAAGTCTGATCCCAGCACTGCATGGTCCCACAAGCACTATCAGTAGCAACTCCAGAGACAAGCTGTAGTAGTCCCCAAAAACTGCTGGGTGTGTTCCACCAAAAAAAAAAAAAACAAAATTGTAAAATTTTAGAGATGCAGGAATCTACTAACTTCTTTCAGACTAATTTTTTAAAAATGTTTAAGTCATTTTACATCTATTTATTTAATTACTTCTTACAGTAATCCTGTGAAATAAAGTTACCACTCCTGTTTCATGTGTGTCCAATTATCTTTGGAGCCAGTTATCCTATTTCCGGGAATCTACCTTGAATATTGAAAAAATAATAAAATCAAAATGTATATCACAAGTTTCTTCATTGAATCATTTTGATTGCAAAACACTGAAGAAAATATGAATATCAAACCATAAGAGTAACTTATTAAATGAATATATACCCATATTTTATAGTTGAATTAAAATACAATTCAACTATAAAAATGAGGGAAATTTCTATTTAAACCTTGATACAGCTATTAAAAAATGAGAGAAAGGTCTCTGTATACAGAGTAATTTCCAGTACATATTTTTTTTGTTTTGGGGCCACACATGGTGAGGATGAAGGGTTACTTTCAATGTGCTTCTCAGAGGTAGCTCCCAGCAGTGCTTGAGAGATTAATGACATGGGAGACTGACTCTGGACCTTCAGCATGAAAACATGCATACACACTGGCCAGATGAACTACCTCCCATCCCAGTAAGTACATATTAAGTAGAAAAAGAAAAGTAAAATAACTTTTTTTCTTCATGGAAGAATATAGAAATTGCATAGACATTGTTTCATCTATGCAAAAGAAGTATAAGAATAAACCATAATCTTGAGACACATTACTTAAATGGGTGGATAGGAAAGAGATACTAATAAGGAGAAAATGGGATCAGAATAGAAGGAAGGATGAGAAAATTGTGAAACATTCCTGAGAACTTTTTTTTTTTGTATAACTACAGCTTGTAGAATCATGGTAATACTTAACACACCTTAACATAGCCTCCCTATAAAGAAAGCAGCAGTATTTCTGTGGCATTATTTAAAACTGTACAACCTATTTAAAACAAGGGAGAACATTATGCAAATTCAAAATGAGAGTTATTCTACAAAATGACTGAACAGCAATAGAATCAGAATTATCAAGTTACAGTAGATGAAAGAAGAAATACCTATCAAATGCAATGCAGGATCCTCAATAGGATCCTTACACAGAAAAAAATATTGTAGAAAACTAGGTGAAATGTGAATAAGGTATATAATTTCATTAATAGTTTTATATTGGTGAATTCTAAATTTCCATTATCGTAATAGCTAGTGATAATGTTTGTGCTACAGATAATATAAAGGCATCCTATATAGTTATATAGAATAGATTTACGGAAAGTTGGGTGAGAGGTACATGGGAACCCTCTAGACATTTTTACAACTCTATGACAGTCTAAACTTACTTCAAAATAAAAATCATTTTTAAAAAAATCGGAGCTAGAGAGAGAGTACAGTAGGTAGAGCACTTGACTAGCACATGGTTGATTCAGATTTAATCCCTCACACTGCACATGGAACCTTGAGCACAGCCAGGAGTGAGGAGTATGGAGTCAGGAGTAAGCCCTGAACATTGTGGATAGTAGCCCCCAAACCAAATTAAAGTAAATCTATACATGCTTAAGCTACTATTAGATATTAGATATACACAAAGATAACCCTAATTTATGAACTTAACTTGGAAACCATTCAAAAGAAAAATACTTTGGGGGTATGGTGCCGCAAGCAGGTCAATCTGTACCTGTGAGGTGAGTGCATCAGCAGCCTGATGGCACCCTCAGACTTCCAGATACCCCAAAACTGCTGCTGTGCCTTTGGCCAGATCTCAAAAACTTGGGGCAAAGTTACCAAGAAAGTAAACATCCAATAGTGAGGTATGTGGGAGACACATCCACAAACCACCTCCGGCTCAGCTATATAATTTGAGGCATGGCCTCTCTGGTTCCTGATCAAACTGCTTAATGGCCATGATCCCAGAGACTCAGAAACAAATCTTGAAACCCAGTGGCTTTTGGCAGAAATATGTCTAGACTGTGCGGTAGGTTACTGTCGCCAGGCCACCCCAGGGGGGAAAGGGTCCCTTTGCCTGCTCCCCCTAGGCAGCTTGGTGGCTGCCATCTTCCAGAAGCACTGGACAGTTAGGTTTGGGCCCACAGTGACGAGACACATGGGGCCTCAAGGATGGGGGTGGAGCCGGCCCTTCCCTCTCCACCCCAAAGAGACCCTGAGTTGCCGCCCACAAATGGCCTCTCTGGCTCCTGATCAAGCTGCTTAATGGCCATGATCCCAGAGACTCAGAAACAAATCTCAGAACCCAATGGCTTTTGGCAGAAATGCGTCTGTTTCCTGCAGTAGGTTACTGGTGATGGGCCACCCCAGGCGAAAATAGGTTTCGTGCCTTGGCCTGTTCCCCCTGGTGGCCCGGTGGCCACCATCCTCCTGAGGCCACTGGACAGTCAGGTTTGGGCCCTCAGTGACAAAACACGCAGGGCCTCATGGGATGGGGGTGGAGCCGGCCCTTTCCTCCCCACCCCAACAAGACCCTGAGTCCGCCGCCCATGAACAGTCCCTCTGACTGATCAAGCTGTTTAATGGCCATGATCCCAGAGACTCAGAAACAAATCTCAGAACCCAGCAGGTTTTGGCTAGAAATCCCTCCAGATTTAATGGTTAAAATTTCGGAATTTCAAAACCGCATGGCCACTACTGCAGCTGCGCAACATCATATGTTATTCATAACCAGCAACAGAAAACAAATTGTCTACTGTTGCTTTTTCGGCAGATCTGAGTGTTGGGGTAAAATCCCAAATAATAATGGTGGGTCTGGTGTCAAAATATTGAATGTAATCAAAGTAGAGAGAGAGTAATGTGGAAATCATCTGCCCCACAGGTAAGGGGAGGGTGTGGGATGGGGGTATATTGGGGTTTTTGGTGGTGGAGAATGTGCACTGGTGAAGGTATGGGTGTTTCATTGTATGACTGAGACTTAAACACAAAAGCTTTGTAACTGCTCTCATGGTGATTCAATAAATAAAATTATAAAAAATGGGGAAAAAAAGTAAGGTGGAGTTTATGCCCAATTCAATCAGCCTAATCAGTGGCTGAATAAATAGCAGTACTCTTACATAAAAAAATTACTTTGTCTTTACAATGTAGCTGAGGGTGTCCCCTATGACATATAGAAAACCAGAATGCAAAACTCACCTAAAATTGCAGAGAGGTTTGGAAACAATGGTGCTTTCTCTATTGCTACTGCTTTACTGGTATCCAGAAGAGTAGAATTCTTGCATAACATGTGTTCTTCCAACTTGGGACATGCCCAATCTAAAACAAACAGGAGAAATAGCACAAAACTCTGAACAATACACAAGCAGGTTACCTCTCCATTACCACTAACTTAAGAGCCTAGCCATACCAGATTATGGTTTCTGAAGGTTTTAGTTGGCATTAGATAAACCTTAATGCCTTTAGCATAATCAAAAATATTTGATTTACTTGATTTTCTAATCCACTTTCTTTCATTAATGTTTGCTCAGTAAAAAAGTATGGCTCTTGAGCCATAGTACAGTGGGTAAGATGCTTCTCTTACATGGAGCTGACCTGGGTTCAATTCCCCACACCTCCAAATGGTCCCCATCAGGAGTGATTTCTGAGTGCATAGCCAGGAATAATCCTTCAGTACCACCAAGTCTACTCCCCCACCCAAAAAAAGCACATACAGGAAGCTGGCTCTTATATTTTTATATATTTTATAAAATGTACACCTAAGTACCATTAACCAACCCATCACTAAATAACATGCTGCTATTACTTACTGTCACTTTTACATATTCTACTGACATCCCTCTACGGAATGATGAGGTTATTCACTAACATCTCTCATGCTAGCCTTTCCAACCCTTCACTCTACTTTTCCATAGCCTTAAATCTTAATACTGTATATTTAGTCAGACCAGTATCCATTATAGACATTATGATGGCAAGTTATAATAAAAATGTTATTACTTTTCTGGTATATCCTAACTACCATATGTTCTCCCTGGAAAATTTTTAAAAAACTATTTCTACTTCACTATATTTTTTCAATGATGTAATCTCAAAGTTAATAAAACTGGATAAATATTATCCTGAAGCCTGAGTGTAGAGAGCGAGGAATAAGTCCTGAGAACTACCTGGTAAGACCCACAAATAAAACAAAACCAAAACAAACACAGACAAAAATCAGACTCTCATATAGATTCTGGCTATCCTTATACAGGTTTAAATCTTCACCAAACTAAAGATTCTGGAATCCTCAAATCCTCATGCCAGTCCAACCAACCTTCCTTTCTTGCTTGCTTGCAAAGGGGCTACTCCAAGGTTGGTGTTCTAAGTGGTCACTCCTGGCAGTGCTCAGAGGAACATGCAGTTTGAGGAACTGAACCCAGGCTTTCCACATGCAAAACATGTATTCTAGCTTTTAAAAGTAGATGTTACTTCCAACCCAATATTTTTATTCTTCATATCTTGGTCCCATTGGTTCTCCAAGACAGGTAAAAGAGAATTATAGCCTTTACTGTGGGTAGTCCCTACTGACTTAGCTGGTAGTTAAGCTAGTGAGAAGCTCTGGGGAATGCTTGTATTCTACTTCAAAATGCCAGCTTTGTTCTCAGTCTTCCTGAGGTTTCTAAAGTATGTCAAGTCCCTTAGTCAGGCAAGAGAGTATCCTGATTGTAAAGAGTTCTTATAATTTTATAAATTTTGATATATGTTCAGTCCTTTATTTTCCTCTCTAGGAAGAAATTGGGAGATAGGTTTTTTTTTCCCTAAGTGTATAGTGTTGTGCTAAGTAGTGGCAGGGCTGATGGTGAAAAGAAGTTACTCATCTTTCATGTTCCTACCATATCCTTTTACAAGTATTTGATGTTGCCAAATTTCAAGTTTTTCTGGGATGCTGCAGTACAAATTCACTTGTTTCTGAGATATTCTTATTGATTTAAATCTTGACTTTCTCAGGTCTTCTTTGTCAGACCATTTGCTATTTTTCCTAACCTTATGTCTAAGTCTGTTCAATTATTTTTACCCTAATGTGTTTTTTCAAAAGGCCATTTTCTGACATTTGAGAAAGCTGTGGAGGAAGGCATGCATTCAATATGCCATCATTAACTGACATCTCCTAATTGTAGGTATAGTGAATATATAAATAACAATTTGTAGAGAAAATTTAAGCAGGGAATAACATTTGACACTGTTTTGTTTACTTTTGGTGTGTTTTTTTTTTGCTCTAAGACAAGAACAGGAAATAAAAATATTTCACAGTTCAAACAACAAGTATATATACATTATTTACAAAACTTAATTATGGCTGTGTAGCACTGTCTTCCCGTTGTTCATCAATTTGCTTGAGCGGGCTCAGTAATGTCTCCATTGCGAGACTTGTTGTTACTGTGTTTGGCATGTCAAATACGTCACAGGGAGCTTGCCAGGCTCTGCTGTGCAGGTGGGATATTCTCGGTAGCTTGCCAGGCTCTCTGAGAGGGGTGGAGGAATCGAATCTGGGTCGACTGGGTTGGCCGCAAGGCAAACACCCTACCTGCTGTGCTATTGCTCCAGCCCTATGGCTGTGTATTATACATATATATAAATCTCTTCATCCTTCTGTGATCTTAGGGATCTTGCTCTATAGTCCTATATGAGTAAGCATGGATCACAGGAACAATGGGCAGGAGATGGTGATACACTGAGGAAGATAGTACTCCTCTCAAAAGAAACATTACTCACTAGGGAATTTTAGGCAAATATACAACTTCTGTAGTGGACTAACAGATGCTTAAAATTACTTTCTCACCAAAATAATCTGATCCTCGGAAGACTTCAGGTGATGGGAAGCTACTTAAACTCTCTTTAGAAGAGTCCATGGCAGAACAGTTCAGAAGAGAATTATGATCCTGCAAACTTAGTCCTGTTGAATAAACAAACAAAAAAGATAAAATTTTTCTATAGAAAACAGAATCATGACTTTCACTATATCACTGTCCTCCCATTGTTCATCGATTTGCTCGAGCAGGCCCAGTAACGTCTCCATCATAAGACTTGTTGTTACTGTGTTTGGCATATCAAATACATCACGGGTAGCTTGCCAGGCTTTGCCGTGCAGGTCAGATACTCTCAGTAGCTTGCTGAGCTCTCCAAGAGGGAGGAGGAATTGAACTCCAGTCGGCCATGTTGGCTGCGTGCAAGACAAACACCCTACCTGCTGTGCTATCGCTCCAGCCCAATCATAACTTTAAGCATTCAAATTTATACTAATGTAGATGCAATTGTATGCTAAAAAATGTAAAGACCTTTTACTTATAAAAGCTTATCAGGTACCAGAGTAATATAATAGTATAGTGGATAGGGCTTTGCTTTGCATATGGTCATCCTAGGTTTGATCTCTGGCATCCCGTGTGGCTCCCTGCCCACTCAGTCCACCAGGATTGATAGAAGTTTAGAGCCAACACTGCTGGGGTGTTCCCCCTGCAACCCATCCCCAAGGATGCTCACTCACTCTTTCTCTTTTACTCAGCATAATAATAGGACTCCTAGCTCAAGCATCAGACAGGGAAAAGAAACAAAAGATCATCCAAACTGGAAAGGAAGAATCAAAACTGTTACTATTTGTTGATAACATGATTTTTCACAAAGAAAACCCTGAAGACTTCACAAAAAAACTGTCAGAACAAATTCAGTAAAGTTGCTGAGAATAAGCAGTGTACAAAAATTTGTTTTTGTACATGAAAAATGAAATATCAAAAAGAAGTCAATACCATTTACAACTACATCTACAATTACAACTACAGACTGAATACCTAGGAATAAATTTAGCCAAGGAGGTAAAAAAGATTACACTGAAACTGTAAGACACTAATGAAAGAAAATGGAAAAAAATAACCCACAAAGAAACAGAAAATTTTTCTGCATTCATGGGCTAGAAAAATCAACATTGCTGATGTCTTTCATTTTTATGGGAGCCTATCCAGTGGTGCTCAGAGTTTACTCCTGGCATTGCTCAGGGGACTACATGTGGTACCAGGAATCAAACTGGGGTGATCAGCCACACAAGACAAATACTTTAACTCCAATACCATTTCTCTAGCCCCTGAAATGCTTTAAATGCCTGATAAATTTCAAATGTTCAAGAATGAGGCACTAAAATATCAATTAAGGACAGAATTTGTCCCAGACCCCACACAAAGGCTGAGTTATATGGGATACCCCGGGGTAGGGGGGAACCCAGTGTCTACCCAAACAGAGCCCTGGCAGTTGAAAACCTTCATACTTCTGGCCAGGCTCCATTGCTCGGACAAGCTTCATCAAGAAATTAATCCATTGAAAAACTCAGGTATGCAGGTTTTGTGACTGAAATCTCCAGGCTTTCACGGGGTTGAAGATGGGTCACTTCCCCCCATTTCCCTGTACTGCCAGAAGCCCCAGCAGTCAGTCACATGCCCCTAAGCCACCATCTAGTCCACCTAGGTAAAAATTTAACTCCAACTTTATCATTCTGCTAAAAACTTTGGACACCATGGAGCAAACTCTCAAACTCTACAACTGATAAACCAGGAATCACACATCAGATTGGATGGGATATAATGTAGAAAGCAACCAATCTTGATTAACAAATATAAACACAGAAGTCTTAACCTACACAACATCTTAGTAATCTCTTATATAAGGACTTAATGGCTCCAACAATCTTCACTAATTTTTATCTAAGGAAACATTTTTTTATCATACTTTCAGCAAATTATTTATAACAAGCAATATAAAATAAATAATTTAGGGTTGCTATGGTGGCAGACTTAAGCAGTAATTGGGAAATTTGGAAATAATGGTTTGGGGAAGGTGGACATAGTGGTGGAATTGATGGAACTGGTGGTGGAACACTGAATGTCTGTAACTAAAGTGATGGCTTAATAAGGTTAGAAAATAAAAAATAATTTAAAAAATAAAATCAAAAGAACTCTAGATTCATGAGAAGGACTTTGTAAATGGTGGTTTTTACTGAAAAATAGACAGGACCATGTAATTACTGCCAGATATAGGTCTTCTCCTGGCAGAAAAATTTCCAAAAGAGAAATCCTTCAATCTACTTGATGCAATTGCCCTGAGTGAATAAGTGACCTGTGGGTTTCATCACTTACTATATAGACTTTACTTAATCCCTTTCCTTTCTTCCTGGCACTCCACTGCTATTTTTTGTTTGTTCGTTTGTGGACCAAACCTGGTGGTGCTCCAGGTTTATTCCTGGCTCTTTGATCAGGGATCATTCCTGGTCATTTTGGGGGACCATACGGGGTGCCAGGATTGAACTTGGGTTGGCCACATGCAAGGCAAACATCCTACCTCCTATACTATCACTCTGGCCCCATTACTGCTAACTTTTAGCATTGCATTATTTCTTACTGCTTTATTTAGCATTGTTTTGACGTGTTTAGCTTTTCTCAGTCTAAACTCTCTGCTTCAATGTTTCTGGAATGCCAGAGTGAAAAAAACAAGAAGCCGTTGGGATAGGAGCAATAGTACAGCAGGTAGGGCATTTGCCTTGCACATGGCCTACCTGGGTTTGATTCCCAGCATCCCATATAGTTCCCCAAGCACTGCCAGGAATAATTCCTGAATTATTGAACCAGGAGTAATCCCTGAGCATCACTGGGTGTGACCCAAAAAGCAACGAACAAAAAACAAGCTGTTGTCTGGCTACACAATGTTGGGGGAGGGAACAAAGCATGAATTGCTACTTTTAAATATTTCCCCAAACTCATCTATTGTCAATAATATTTATACTCATTTCTTTAAGAATATGTAATATCTCTGATTTTTTTAATCAAAAGTGTAAATCAGTTTGTTTTTTGGTTTGCCCACCTAGCTTCAGGTTTTGCTTTGTTTTTCCCCAGTTTTGTTGTTTATATTTTCTTGGATCTATTAGGCCAGCTATGATTAATTCACATACATTTCAAACTTTTATTATTCCTTATCACAAGAGGTCTCTTTTTTTTTAACTGATTATTTTTTTAAATAAAGGCTACCTGCAGTGGTACCTGTGGGTAGGGAAATGCTCTGGAAGCTATTTTTGACAATGTTCAGCCCAGTCATGAAGTGCCTGGGTGTCACCTGAGCCACACCTGGTGGTATGCTAGAAGGCATTGAGTTTTGGGAATCAGATTCAGGGTCTTGGGGCCGGAGAGTCTGCAGCAGGTAGGGTGCTTGTCTTATACATGGCCAACCTGGGTTAGATCCCAGACACTCCATATGGTTCCTTGAGCCTGCCAGGAATAACCCCTGAGCACTGCTGGGTGTGCCCCCACCCCACCAAAAACAAAAAAAAACATTCAGGGTCTCACACATGCAAAGTGCATGCTCTACTTCTTGAGCTATTCCTCAGGTCCTCTCACTTTTTTTTTTCTCACCTTATGGAGTCCTCTTTAATCATTTCTTTGCATAGCCAATTTCTTCCCTTCTTCAGATCTCAATATCCAATCTGTCTTATAAGTCATTCCAAATCATTCCAAAGAAACTCAATTACACTAAAGTCCATCTGTTTTGCAGCTGTTACCACAAATTAAAATTCATATTTACTGGTGTGTGCTTAACTGCTGAGAATGAAACCCAGAGCACAAGCATAAAGAAACACTTTGGAGAAGACAAAAACACTTCTTCCACTCAGAAAAAAGGGGCAGTTACAAATGGTTTCTTTGTGATTATAAAAAAGAAGTTGACATCCGACAAAAGTCTTACCTGATACTAGATCACTATTTGATAAACTACTGTCAGCCTGGAGGCCATCAGTTTCTGACTCCTATATGAAATAAAAATTAAAGACATAGTACAAATTATGAGATTGAATATTTTTGTTATATAATACAACAACGATTTGGTTGTTTTGAAAATGAACAAATATTGATTTTGTAAATTAGTTTCATATTTGTAACAGATTCATATATCACAGATGTAATTTGATATTAAATATTACATCTAATAATAAATATTAAGGGCCACAGAGATAGTACAGTATGTAAAGCAAGTGCCTTTATTCCTTATCTTTATGCCTTTCATGCGGCAAACCTGGGTTTGATCTCCAGCACCACATATGGTTCCCTGAGCACCACCAAGAATGATTCCTGAGCAGAGAGCAAGGAGTAAGTCCAAAGAACAGTCAATTGTGGCCCCCCAAAACAAAATAAATATGAAAATATAATATTAAGGGCCTATCTTTGGGAGTCAACAATATACTTGCCAACTAAATAATGTTGGATCAACCAGTAACTATATATTTCTGATCCACCTATGGAAGGAGGGCTTTTTTTTTTTTCAGACCACCTATGGAAGGAGGGCTTTTTTTTTCAGACCAACTATAAAAACTAAATATTAATAAACTTAAAATATCAGAAATAAAATTAAAGATGAAAATATTTTGCATGTGTGCAAATGTCCATCTTCAATATACAATGAATATTTCATAAAAAAAGAACAGAAAAGGCAGGTTGTAGCAATAGCATGGTGGATAGGGTGCTTGTCTTATACAAAGCTGACTTAGGTTTGATCCCCAGCACCTCATGTGGTCCCCCAAGCTCCAACAGAGTGATCCCCAAATGCAGAGCCAGGAGTAAACCCTAAGCACTGCTAGGTGTGGTCCAAAAATAAAAGACAAAAAAATAGTGGTCAATAAAATGAAAAAACAAAAACAAAAAACAACTGTACCAGCTTTCAAATAATGGAAAGTAAAACAATATATTACTTTTGTTTTGGTTTGGGGGCCATACCAATGATGCTCAAAGGTTACTCCTGGCTCTGCATTCAGGGATTACTCCTAGACAGGATCAGAAGACTACATGGGATACCAGAAATAGAACCTGAGTTGGTCACATGCAAGACAAACACCTTACCCACTGTACTATTCATCCAGCCCCACAATACAGTATTTTTAATCAACCAAATATATATATATTTTTATGTTCAAGTAAGATGCTACAATTTCCAAAAACAGAAGTTTTAAAATACAATTTAACACTTGATGCACTGCAAAGTATATATCTTAGGGTAATGATTTGTGATACAAAACTTCTCCATCAGGATGTCTACATATATCTACAACAGCAAAATCTTGGATACAATCTCAATGCACAACCCATAGGAAAAGTTATAAAATAACAGCATATCTCAGACCAGAGAGCTAGTTCAATGGGGTTGAGCATATGCTCTCTGTGCAGGGGCCTTTGTTGTCCCACCTCATATGATCCCCTAGGAGCAACACCCACCAAAGCACTTAGCTGGGAGCAGTGCCTGAACTTCACTGATGTGGCTCAAACTTCACCCCACCCCCTACAAATTACACTGTATCTGTCCATAAGACTAAACACTATGCAGATAATAAAAACCATATTTTTAGGGGTCTAAGTGATAGCAGAATAGATAGGGCATGTGCCTTGCAACTCAGCTGATCCAGGTTTGATCCCTGCATCCTGTATGGTCCCCTAAGCCCAGCCAAGCATAATTCCTGAGTGCAGAGCCAGGAGTAACAACACATTGCCTGGTGTGGCCCAAAACAAAACAAAAATAAAAAATACCCTCCATATTTTTAAAGATAACTCAATGAGAGGAATATACAGAGTAACAATCTGCAAAATTTAAAAAAAGGCACTGAAAAATGTAAAAATCAAAAGAAGCTATTTAAATATTTGGATGGGGGGCAGAACCTGAGTCATTTATAAGGAACACTTAACACTTAAGATCTGGGGTAAAAGACTTTTTTTTTAAAGTTTTTTTTGTGGCCTGGAAGATAACTCAAAGTTCAGGAGCACATATTCTGCATGCACAAGACACTGAATTCAATACCCAACACCTCATGCCTGAGCACCACCAGGTATGATTCTGGAGGTGTCAACCACTCCTAGGGACTTCATGCCCACGTGAGGTTTGGCCTAAGCAGCATCAGATTGCTGGAATGAAAATTAAATTATTTGGCCTTTGCTGGAAGTGACATATGTGAGCATTGCTTGGGAGGCAATCCCCTCCCCCCAAAACATAACTGCTTAAAAAAATTTAATGCCTTCTGTTGAAACCGCTCTCATCCACTCTAAAAAAAATTTATAGAGGAATAAGAAAGCTAAAACAGTACAATTATCAAATTTATTTCTGATGTCAGACAAGCTACAGTTTTTAAAATCTTGGTCTCTCAATTCCTACTTTTAAAAACATAGAAAGGAATCTACACTAACTATAGCAGATCAAGAAGTTATATGCTATTTTGACAGTAATGAATCTTTTCCTTTGTCAAGGGGGAAAAAATGAAAATGCCAGAATAAAAAAATTCACGGTTTCACTAATGACACCAGAAAAATGTTCGTTTATTTGTTAAAAAGGTTCTTAAAAATACATTTCTAGAAAGCTATAACATCTCTACTGAACACTGATATGCAGAGTTGTGGGGTGCCACTGGGGATTCCGTGTGTCGGGGATCACGGGAGGCACATACATACACTCGACAGCGCGGCATTCTCCTCAGTCTCTTCCCTGGCGCTGGTTTCTTCCAGGCTGTTCTCTCTGGTAAATCTTAACTGAGGGCTGGTAAACAAACAGCACGATTAGTCTGCACGGTCATGACTGACTCCTGTTCACTGTTCGGCTTCTGAAAGGCTCTTTGGGAACATCTTAGAAGAAAAGTAGAAGCAGAATGGGGGGGTGCTGATGGTACGAATGATTTTTCTGGAGATTTTAACATCACTTGCTTTTGCATATCTTGACAAGACAGCCTTTACTTCAAACCAACCAACCAATCAACCCACCCCAAAAAGCCGCTCCCAGAGCGACACCGGCACAGCCCCTCTTGGCAGAGTCAGCGCTGAAGGAGTATTTGAAGGGGTCAAAGGGCGACGCACCTCAGCAGCGCTGAGCCGTCGCCTTCCTGAGGGCTCCGCTCCGCTTTCTCCGAGATCTTCCGCAATCCTCGACCCTTGCCGGCTCCTTGCAGGCCAGAGGTCAGACGTTTGAGGGCGAAAACCCTGGGGTCCCCGCCCTCCGGGCTCTCTGTCCACCCGCCTCCCGCGCCCTGCCCTTCCTGTGCCCTCCCGGATCGGCGGGCTCACCCCGGGCTGCCCCCCTGAGGCCCGAGCCCGGCGGGGCCTCCTCCGCTTTGGCCCAGGCGCCGAGGTCCGGCGTCGGGGTTAGGTTGAGCCTTTGGCCAGCCCGCTTCTTGCGGGTGTAGGCCCGGAGCCACACAGCCATTCCACCCTCAGGTCTGGGGGGGTCCTTGGACCCTGGAAAAAGTCTGGCCAAGTGGCTTCGCTGAAGAGCCGAGGCGGGTCAGTGCGGGGCGGAGTCTAGGCGCAGCCTACGGAACCGGGTGAGGTGGACGCCCAGCGGCGCTGGATTGGAGCGGCTCCCCGTGCTCCTGCCTTTTTATCTTGGCCAAGCCGCGCAAGGGCGTCTGGGAAGAAGCAGTAACCCTGCGGCTATGGCACTGCCCCCTAGGGTATGCAGTGATCATTGATGACCTTTGGCGGGCTACTTGTTTCAAGTTAAGGGAAAGCTTTTGGAAACGCTTTCCTAGTCCAGGTGGTTGCCCTTGATTCTCAACTGATGGGCCCAACACGCAGTACTGCTGTTCTCTGCAGTTCTCCTTATCACAATATTAATGGAAGACTCTAAAGGTGGGGTTTTGGATCTCTGCAGCACACAGAGGCAGCACCAAGATCAAAGAAGAGTGAAGCATCCACCTGAGCAATCAGCTTGTTTCCCTGGCCACAAATTACTTGGGGGCAGGGTGGGGTGGGGAGTGGTTTAGTATTTGTGAATCAAACCAATCATATGAATGACGTTTTATAGGCAGTTTCTTTCCAAAGACAAGTAGACACCCTTAGTCATCTGAGCAGCTTTTGTAGTAAAGGAAGAGAATTCCAACATGGCTTCCTTCCTAGTGCCCTGGGGTTCTGCCCAACGGGAGGGATAACCTCCCTGACACCCACCCAGCTTGAACCATCTGGCCTCATCTCATACAGATAATATGCACAAAAAAAAACAACAACAAAAGACCTATGTCAGGTCAAAAATGACATTTCATGACATTAAAAATGCAATAGCACAGCGGGTAGGGCGTTCGCCTTACAAGCGGCCAACATGGCCGACCCGAGTTCGATTCCTCCGCCCCTCTCGGAGAGCCCGGCAAGCTACCGAGAGTATTCGATATGCCAGACACAGTAACAACAAAGTCTCCAATGGAGACGTTACTGGGCCCGCTCGAGCAAATCGACGATCAACGGGAGGGCCATCCCTCCATCCCTCCAAAGACAAAATTACAAAACCTCAGGCTTTTCAGTAATACACCAACATTGTGTGCGCATGTATCTGTATAATAGTTTCATCCACAATTTTTTAAATTCATGAAGATTTTTTAAACCTCCTTGTTAGAACGAATGAGAATAATGTGATCATTAAAACTTAATTTTGTAAAGGACAGTAGGAATTCTTACCTGATTAGATAGTGCATTGTCACTGAATCAATACCTCCTTACTCTAGTTAGGCAAGGTCCTAGAGATGCAGAAGTGAATTAGAAATGGTCTTTTGATCAAGAATCTCAGTTTAAAAAAAATCAGTTTTGTTGCATATTAAAGCTGTTCATACACTTGGATGTTACTTTGTTTAGTCACATTCATAATATGTGATAGTTTCTAGTTCACTGTTTCAAGTCTCTGGGTTCCACTTTTTCCCTTTGTGAGCAAAAGATGTGAAAAAACTTGATTCTTTAAGGCCATTTGGAAAGTCAGCTTAGAAATTAAAGAAATACCGAGTGAAAGGAAAACAGCTTAAAACACAAGTGAATCTGCCCTTTTGTAACCCTGTTCCCTAAAACTCTGTTACTATACTGATTCATGCCATCTGGTAACAATTTATAGGAGTTAACATATAAAGTCTGAAAACCACGAATGGTCTTCCCTGTGATTTCTTGAACCTCTGAGAAGATGACCTAGTTTACCCCTCATTTTATGGCTGAAGAAATCACATCTTAAAGACGTTCATTATGCAAGGTGGTTGGCACAGGTGTCATGAGTCTCTTGATACTTATTTAGTACACTTGTTATGTTCCCATGCAGGAAAGGAGCAAGGAAAAGAGCCCAGAATCCTTGATAGCAAGGCTAGGGGAAGGAATGAGAAAGAGTTGTTTTGTTTAAAAGCTTCACATAGAGTCATCCTATAAAATGGGAAGGAACAGTTGGATGAGTTACATTTGGTAGAGTTGGTAGAGATATTCCAGCTCAGCTGTCTCTCCTAACTCCATTCTCAAATACACAAACATCGTTGCACACATTTAACCCTAAGTATTCATTTGAATGTTTTCTTTCATTTAAATCAATTCTCAGAATTTCAAGACTCAGAATTTCTACCATTTCTCTTGAGTCATGAAATGGATTTGATCAAATTTGGAATGATCATGGAGCTACTAAGTTCAGGGGGGAAATAAATTCAAAATTTTGAAGAGATTGTTTTTTAGGATCTAACTGAAAACCAGTATTTCTTAGTTGACAAGAATGGAAAAAATCAGTGGCATAAGGAAAGTCACTTCAGATATTATAATATTAGTGGTATGCAACATCTAAAAAGGACCAGCGTTTGTTGTTGTTTCTTAATTGTTTCTTGAGCAGTCACCAGATCACCTGCACCTGTGGCAGCATCAGGCCACTCAGAGGGACAATCAATAAGTTAACCATGAGAGAAGCTTCTCGCAGTAAAGGATTGTTGAGCTTCATTTTAAGATTTAGGAATTGAACAGAAGGGAGGAGATTAAATTAACTGGGTGTTTTAAGAAAAGGGGACTCAGTGCCATGGGAGAAACAGAAATGCATGATGTTTTTAAGGCACTATACAAAATAGTTGGTATGACTGGAGCCAAGGCTTCATGGGGGAAGGGCAGAAGAGAGCTAAGGCCTGTGTGCTGAATCAGGGAGTCTGAACTTTGTTCTGGAAACTATGGGAAGTCACCAGAGGAATATTAAACAGGAGAGTAGCACGACTAGATTTTCAATTTAGAAACAATGCCCTGACTAAAACGAGGACGGTGAAATTTGAAGAAGCTGGAGGTATAACCAGGAAGACTAAGAAAGGCACTGTAATGATCCAGACAAGACATGAATGACTCCAAGGAAACTAAAAGCAATGAGAGAAGTAGGATTTGCATGATTTAGTAATGAATTATAAAAATTATCTCTGATAATTTGCATAATTTAGGTATGCACTTTTAAGGAAGATGTATCTGTTAACTTGCAGGTGGATGTGTGTGTGTATGTGTGTGTGTATGTGTGTTGTGTTTTAGGACCACACCTGACAGTGTTCAAGGCTTTCTTTGGGCTATGTGCTAAGGGATTATTCCTGGCAGGACTCAGGGGACTATATGGGGTGCCAGGGATCAAATCCCGCTTAGCCACATACAAGACAAGCACCTTACCTACTGTAATATCTCTCCAGACCCGTAACTTGCTGGTGGGTAAAAGACTTAAAGGACACTCTTTCAAAATCATCATTATGAAAAATGTGTTCTCTTAAAAATATAAAAATGATATGAATCTAGGACACATATGGTAATAGGGAATGTATAAAGCAAAGGAAAACCTCTCTAGAAAAATCAAGTTTTGGGGGTTGGGTGGCCTTCTGAGAGAGAGGGTCTAGGATAAGATAAGGTGGTATAATGAGGTCATGTTTTCAAAGAATTTAAATAACAAACTTACTAGCATTATAGGATTATGCTCTATAAATACATATCTTGCAGTAATTGTATACAACTTTGAGAAAGAAGTCTTTATTTTTTACAAAAGTTTTCATAAATGCATTTTATATTTAATATGCATGCTACCATAATAAAACTAAAAATATAATTACATGAAGATAATTTATGCATATTTTAAAAGTAATCTTTTAATATCAATTTAAAAAATTGAAATAAGCAATTCTTAAAAAAAATATGCATTTCCCCATGCAGTTTTTGTGATGATATAACAATAAAATATTGACTAATCAATCAAATGAATGTTTAATAGTTTCTGCACTTCATGAAAATCTTTTGAGTTTGGTTCTATGTTTAGAAATGCTTTCAGGTACTTATGTATTGCTATAGGTTATAACCATTCATGTGTCCTAACTGAAGAGTTTCTCATTTAGGACTTTTTCTTCACTTGAATGCTAATTTCCTTTTTTAGTGCATTGAATACTAGGTTCACACAAACTTGGAACATACTTAAGGGGAAGTTCAGACTACTAGGATAATTTTTTGTGTGTAAATGCTTTCTTAAAAATAAAAACAGGAAAAAAATTAATTGCATATAATTATTCATTTTTTTCCTGAGATATTAAGCAAATCTTTAGGTAGTCTGTTTTCATGCAGAAATACATTTCCCCATTCTTTACATTCATTTCACAGTATTTTAAGTTCTAAACTATATCACATTGGTGCTCTGTATTTTTGAAAATAAGGAATTCTTCATGCACATGTCTATGTGTGCATGTATGTATATGTAAGCATGTGTGTGTGCACATGTGTTGCCAGGGATTTAACCCAGGACCTTTTATGTAAGAGGCATGATCTCTACTACTAAGCCAAATTTCCATTTCAAGAATGATTAATTTTCTTTAATTGGAAAAAGCACTGGTTTATTGTATGGTTATAAAATAAAATTAAGGGGTTATAATATAACCTCACTATACAAATAGTAATGGGAATGTCTATTTTTCTCATGCTTGCAAATTTACCTAAATATAGAAGAATAGATTAACTTGCTCATATAAGCAAGACATGGTATGTTGACTCCTTGGGTTTTTGAGTTTGTGAAGTTTCTAATATGTGGAGCTAAGCCTATGCATTATACCTTGTCAGAGTCCTATCTCATCTGGAAGGGAATATAATATAAATATATCCTTTACATGAAAGGAAAGAAGTATATATCCTATAATATAAATATTAATTTGTGAACTATGAGGATTGCCAGCATATTAAATGTAACAGATAAAAGACCAAACATTTAAGAACATGTTTATGCTTTAGAAATTGATTTCATTAGACATAAATAGGAACTGATATCCAAGAGGAATATAAATGTGTTATATCCATAATAACCTTTTTCTACAATGGTCCAAAAGAAATAAACTTTTCCCCAGAATAAAAATGGGAAATCTGAAGAAGGATTTTTTCATTAACACATATTGTTTAATTTTCCTTTATTAAAAAATTAGTGGCGTTAAACAGAGAAATCAATAACGTACATGCAACATATTTGGGGCCAACGTTTGTTTCTCTCATCACAACCTATTTATTGGCCCCTATGTGATGATTTTCACGTGGGTCAGGATCACTAGTGGAAACAAAGAGTTTAAAGTGAGAAAAAGAAGAAATGTTCAATTGTCCATGACTTTTCATTTCTAACTACTATGAGGCATGAGTCAAGTAAAATTGTTGTTTTAGATTGCTTATATTACCCTGTACCTTTGGAAACAAAGCCAACTATGAAACTTTAGTTAAATGGAAAGATTACAGGTAACAGTTCCATTGTTTTTGAAATGGAAAAATACCTGCCTTGAAACACACTGTCCATTGTCACTGTCCTCCTGTTGTTCATCGATTTGCTCGAGCAGGTCCAGTAACGTCTCCATTTTGAGACTTGTTGTTACTGTGTTTGGCATATTGAATACATCACAGGTAGCTTGCCAGGCTTTGCCGTGCGGGCAAGATACTCCCGGTAGCTTGCCGGGCTCTCCATGAGGCGCGGAGGAATCGAACCCGGCTTGGCCGGGCTGGCTGCGCGTAAGTCAACCGCCCTACCACTGTGCTATCGCTCCAGCCCACCTTGAAACAGTATGTCTAAATAATTCAGTTAAGCATTTTCTCTTTTGATTACTCAACATATAGTAAACATAAAACACTAATGTCCTATAAATGTGTCCTCAGACATTTTTAGTATCCATTTTGAAATCTTTAAAATTAATGTTCATAGAACTGGCTCATTTACTAAAAATGCAATTTGTAAGTACAAGTGATGGATCCGAAGAAAGAATGCACCAGAGGCAACTGTAAATTATTGAATAAATCCATCAAAAAACTGTGGTTTTCTAGAAATAAAATAATTGTATATTACTGATGTAGTTTCATCCAGTGGCTGGATGCAGTTTTTAACCAACAGAATTTATTTAACAGCTCAGATTTACTGTAGTGGAAAGATTCTCTACTCTGTGAACAGTACCTCACCTCTGCCTTCAGGGTCTTCTCCTTACTGAAGAGAATTGTCCTAGGGACTGTTCCTCCATCAGATGTACAATCGGTAGCTTGAAACTGAATTGCTGTCCATGTTGGCTTTAATTATATAAGACTAGTGGCTCCTAGGTCCAAGAACATCTATGGGCTTAAGTAGCTTTCTAGGGGTATTTTGAAGAGGCTTGTCAAAGTTACATTGCTAAAAAATTATTTTATTTGAAACTAACATTTCTTCCTCCAAATATGCATAACACCCGATGGTGTTACTGCAAGAAAGTGAAATTGTTCAGAATTATAGTTATACTGAGTTTTTCACGCGTGGCATGGACATATTAAGAAGAGAATACTGGTACAAGCCAGTGAGGAATATTAATACATTAATTGCTACCCAAACTGAGAAATAATTTTGGGTTTCTTCTCCATTTTCCCCAAAGGTCCTTTCAACAAGAGAGTCAAAAGATATCCTTTAGAGTTTATTGTGGTCAGAAGTCCATGAATATGATATTATCATGTCAAGTTTGTTTAACTTTTTTTTTTTTTGGTCATATCGGTGGTGCTCAGGAGTTACTCTCGGCTCTGCACTCAGAAATCACCCCCGACTGACTCAAAGGACCATAGGCAATGGTGGAGATCAAACCAGGGTCAGCCATGTGAAAGGCAAACATCCTATCAGTTATACTATTGCTCTGGCCCCATATCCTTGAGTTTTGTGTTATATTTTTCTATGTAATTTATGAATTCTAACTGAAATTAATAGATGAGAAAATGTGTTAAAATATTTTGTTAAGTGCTGTGTTAGCATCACAGTTGTTTTAATAACATCTGAACTTATATTTTTCAGGGATGAAAGTAAAAATTCGAAAACTTTCACATCAATAAGGATTGTCATATTTAAAGAATCCAAATTCTAGAGAGTGAGCTATCATGTTTTGTTTTAGCATGATTTTGTACATCTGTTTTTAATTTTTTAAGTCTGAATTCATTGCAATTTGACAATCAGTTATTGAATGAGGTAGTCCATATTGTCTATGTATTTGCTGTATCTGTTACTTATTCCACAAATAATTAAGTACAATATATCAGTTACTTTTTCTTTATGTTTAATAGTTCTGTGAACATTGAGAATATATTACTTTTAGTGGTACACAGTTTTTGAGAAAAGTCTTGATTTTTACATTGCCATTTGCAATATTTTAGCAGCTCACTACAATCCATTTTAATAAAAATAAAGTGTACTCAGTGATGATAGAGAAAATATTGTTAAAGACCTCTCGGGACAGGAAAAGGCTGTCATATGGTCATGTACTTATTCACTTTCAGCTGCACCATTAAGCTGACTCATTACTTTCAGGAGTAACTATAATATTGCTACACAGTCCATTACACTGAGAAGAACTTTCCTTGAACTTCATATGGAGATTGAGTAAAGCTCTTCTATTTGTTTTTTGAAGTATTCTCTCAGCTCAGGTCTCTTAGCTTTTAGTGTTGGTGTCAGCAAGCCATTTTGAACTGAGAACATGTCGCGGTGGATGTGAATGGCTTTAACCTAAAAACCAAATGCAGAATATATCTTTATCAGGCATATAACACAGCAATTATGTATAAATGATAAAATGAACAGGCATATGGGAATAGATATATTGCTATGAAAACACTATGCTTAAAAGTCAAAAGCCTATTTGGCACATCTGAAAGTCACCCACCCCCCTTTACCCACCCTCACCCTTGCTTCCACTCCTTCATTTAGCCAGAAATGACTGGTTGCTTTTCCAGTGCCAGGCACTAAGAAAACAGAGAAATGAGTACCTTTGTCATCAAGGGGTGCTCATTTGCATTTCATGTTGCAGATACACTGGGTAATTATTAGACACTACAGTATATACAGAGTGAAGAACACCTAACTCAGTTATGAGAAAGGCGAGAGAAGAGCAGTCGGGGAAGAGAGTAAGTGTGGGTGGAAAGGAGGAAAAGTACGTGGTGAGGCATTTAAGGTAGGTGGTGAGGCATGTAAAGGGAGTTTAAGGCAGAGATAACCCCAAGAATAAAGCTAAGGGGAGAAGACTTGGCAATGAGGGAAAGAAAATACAAATGAAATCTTGTTTAGTGACTTAGGGTCAGAAGTAAAGAGATGAAGAGAGGAATCTGAAGTGGTAGATGGGACAGTTCGGAAGGGACTCAAACTCCACTGAAGGGAGCAGAAAGGCACTGAAGAGTCTTATGCAGGACTATGACATGTTAATCCAGAACATTTCAGAAAGATCTCTCCCACAGAAATGCAAAAACAACTGTTAGGACAGTTACGGTCAGAATAGAATCCATAAGAGAGAAAACTTAGGACAGTGGGAGCAACAGAAGCAAGCAGTTCTAAGAATCACTTGATCACTTGACATCCCATTACTCATCGATTTGCTCGAGGGCGCCAGCAACATCTCCATCTGTCCCTGTCGAGTGATAGTGTAGCCCAATGGCATATGCTCACTCCAGGAACACGAGGGCCTCAAACCATTCATTCGGGGTCTTGATGAAGAAGTCTGACCATTCCATACGTGGGCGGCCACGCATTCTTTTGACGTCCCGTGGAATCCAGTCAGTAACAGCTCTAGTCTAGAGGTCGTCTTCAAATTGCATTACGTGTCCAATCCATCTGATTTTCGATGCCTTGGCAAATGAGACAGCATTTGTTCTAGATTGTCGACAGAGGTTGGAACTCCAGATTCCTTCTCTCACTTGAGTGAAGCATGATACTTCAAGCATAGCTCTTTCAATTCCTCTTTGGGAGACCCAAATAGCGTTCTCATCCTGTTTTCATAGGCCCCAGGTCTCTGAGGCGTATGTTAATGCAGGAAAAATGGTGGAGTCAAAGACATGTGCCCAGAGCCAGAGTTCTTTGTCCTCTTAGCTATTTCTTCCATGCTCTTGAAGGCATTCCAAGCTGCTCTCTTCCTCCTGCACAACTCAGGTGCCAGGTCATTCGTCACATTGAGTTATTGACCTAGGTACACATAACTGCTGCATTCAGACATGTTTGTTCCATTGAGAACAAATGGAAAGTCAGTAACTTGTCCATTTTTCATGAACATTGTCTTGGTGAGATTCAGCTGCAGTCCAATATTTCCACACTCACGGTAGAAGCCGGCCAGCATTTGTGCCGCTTGGCTAATGTTTGGTGTTATTAGAACGATGTCATCAGTGAAGCAGAGGTGGTGTAGTTGCCGACTGTCTATCTTCACTCCCATTCCTTCCCATTCCAGTCATCACATGATGTTCTTGAGGGTGGTACTGAAGAGTTTTAGTGAAATGCTATCGCCCTGCCGAAATCTCTCTTTATGTCGATGATCATTTCCTTTTAGAATGGTGAGATCCTGGTAGTGAATCCGTAATATAGCTCATGGAGGATCCTGATGTACTGAGTTTGAATGCCCTGTTTGGCTAGGGCTTCAATGACCGCTTCAGTCTCAACAGAATCAAAGGCCTTCTTTAAATCAATGAACATTCTTTAAATCAATGAACAACAGAGTGGCATCTTGAACTTCTGAGAAACCTCAATGAGCTTGGTCACTGTATGGATATGGTTGATCGTGCTGAATCCTTTTCAGAACCCGGCTTGCTCGCATGGTTGTCCTTCATATAGTGTTCTGCCAATCCTATTCAGGATGACTCAACTGAACAGCTTGTAGATGACAGACAAAAGGCAGATCAGGCGATAGTTGGCAATGTCATGGATGTCTCCCTTCTTGTACAGCAGAATGGTCCTGCTGGTTTTCCATTGAGACAGAACCTTGCATTCAGATAGGTAGTGTGTGAAGAGCCGAGCCAATGTATTGATGAATACTGATAGGATATTTTTCAGGTGTTTGGGTTTGACCCTATCTGGACTGGGTGCTATTTGCTTCTTTACCAATGAAATGGCATGTTGGATTTCGGAAGGGAGAACATTGGGAATGACATATCCATTCTGCAGAATTTGGTATATGGGCAGGTGGATGTGGCTATCGAAGAGATCCGAGTAGAGGTCATGGATAATCTTCTCCATTGCCCTTCTAGAACATGTGATAGATCCATCAGGACGTCAGAGGACAGTCATCTTGGTCTTGTAGTTGGCAAAGAACAGGCGGGCATTGTGAATGCTTTTCCCAGCTTCTGCCGCATCTTCCAGCACTGCTGTTTTTCTCTCTTTGAGGTCTTCCTTTATAGCTTCTCTGCACTGCTTTGAGATCTCAGACATTAGCTTGTGGTTGCCTGAAGCTCACACCAAGTCACGTTGGCAAATGAGCTGAGAGTTTCTGAAGACAGGCATCTTTTTGTGGCTTTCTCTCTCTCGGCATTCCTCACACAATCATGGAGGTGCTGAAGCAGTCGATTGTATTTTTCATCGATGCCAATGTTGCTGCAATTGTGCCAAAGAGTTCCCAATTAGTGGTCATTCTGGGAGTTCTCTTCTTAAACTTTTCAGCCCTTTCTCCCTTTTCTGTGAAGTAGAATTTTGCATGAAGAAGACCATGGTCTGATCCCGTTCGGAATTTTGGGACAACAGCGACATTGGTCAGGCAAAACCGTCAACTGAATATGATGTGGTCAATTTTGTTGTGGAACTGTCCAACGGGAGACTCCCATGTCCAATGTTTAGATTCGGCCTCTGGAACTGTGAGTTACCATGGATAATCTTGGTTGACATGATGAACTCAGACAGTCTCTCGTGCTATTCGTTCCATTCTAGGCCATGGGTCCCAATGTGGAGTCCTTCGGCTGATCTTCTCGGTCCTATCTTGGCATTAAAATCACCAACAATGATATTGTGGAGGGTGTGTTCTTTATAGAATTTATCCAGCTTCATGTAGAACTTCTCAATTTCTTCTTCATCATAGTTGGATGTTGGTGCATGGACAACAAAGATAGAAACTGCCAGCAATGAGCCACATCTATTCAAGTATATGCATCTGATTCAGGATGTTAGACATTTGAATGAATCAATGCTCATGGCCAAGTTCATGTTGATGAGGACACCAACACCACCAATACCTCTATTGTCGCATGTTCTCGGGTAGCCTGGCAAGCTACTGAGAGTGTCCTGCCTGCATGGCAGAGTCTGGTAAGCTACCTGTCGCACATTTGGTATGTCAGAAACAGTAACAGTAACAGTTCTAAGAATAACTCAGAGAAAAAGAAAGAAGTTTTGAGAACCTATACCCTGGTTGCACAGATAGTGGTGCCATTCGGAGGGGGACAATAAAGTTCAGGGGAGACATGCTGAACATAAATTTGAACAAAGATTTTCCATGGCATTTTATTACAACTATTGTTTGGAGGGATCAGACTTAGGGTACATAATGACTATTTCCCTGGGACCAGATGGCCTCAGAGTTTCTTTGTAAAGCTGAATGGAGTAGTGAAGAGATAGATGATCTACCCCAGGAAGGTTTGGACAGGAGGAGGATAGTTCCAGTATAATCAGTCACTATTAGTTCTATGATAATGGGATGATCTGGGCTTGCACTGATTCCTGGAGTGATAATGTCAGCAATAAATTGAGTCCTGACTGACAACTGGGTCTAAATGATTTTTGTTCAGCTATCAAGACCAATATCATCATACAGTAAATAGGGTTATGAATTGACTTTTAAACATAAAATATAATTTTGATGCATATATGTAACTATATATAAAATATATTTGTTGTTTTGTATAACTGACCTTTTTTGACCAACAATTGTGAATCAGGAGTTGTGTCAGTCACCAGGAATACAAAGGAGATCAAGACACAGCCCCTGCCCCTGCAAGGAACTTACAATCTAATGAGAGATGCTGCAATATGATATTCCTTCTGTGGAACAAACACTGGAAGGACTACCTTTGGCAGGCATGTCAACTGCTTTCCTTGTTTTTTCCATGCCTTATAGAACCCTGACTTGGTTTGATGCTAAATATTCTATGTCAGTTGTGACAATCCTCACTTTCCTTTGCAATTTTGGGTTAGCCATAAGATTCACTTTTGACTGGTAAGAAGGAAACTTTTTTGTTTTCCTATCAAAGGAGTCCATCATAACTGTCTCCGCCCACTGTCCTTTCCCCTTCCTTGAATATGGACAATGTCCAAAGCTGTAGCAGCTGCCTTGTGACCATGAGGTGATAAGCCAGCAAACTAAAAACAGAGAGTGGAAAGACAGGCGGCAGAAAAGATAGTAGAAGGCCTAGTTCTCTGAGAACCTATGCTTGTGTTGGACTGCCTATCTCTGAACTTCTCCTCTGAGAGGAAAAACAACAAAAATACCTGCTGTAGGTGAGGTTTTCTACTGTAGCTGAACACATTTCTAAAACACGACAGACTTCATATTTGAACAGAATTTACTAAAATGGGCTTGCCTAGAACTCTGACAATTAAAAAATGGTTTGGTGAGATGAAAACAGCAAAGGGCTATAATGAACAAAGAGGCAGAGATGGGGTGACAGGAGGAAAAATGGAGACATTGGTGATAGGAAATGTTCACTGGTAAAGGGATGGAAAGGAAACCATGGAAAACAGAACCAGAAGGGACGGGTGTTCAAACA